CAAGGAATTATGGGTTCAAAATACAATTAATTGCAATTAATTAATTTTAATCGAGTAATTTCTTATCGACAATTAATTGATAATCGATTAATTGCTTACATCCCTAATCCAGACCATGATTTTGTTTCAACCAACCAGCTGAGTACTCTGTGACAGTGTCTCTTCATATGCAATTGGTTGGTTGAAACAAAATCCTGGTCTGGATTTTTACTTTCCGGACCTGAATTTTCCACCTCTGCCCTTTTCTCAAAAAAGGACTCCACAAGAAGCATGCATGCTTTACAGGTGTCTGGGGCACCTTCACTGGGATATTTCAAAGGGATCATTTTTGGTACTTTTGCATAGTAACAAGTATGATTTTAAAATAAAATGCTGCAGGCAGGATTTGGAAAAAATGTGTTTTAAAGGGATGAGGTAAATAAGTCAGATAAATGTATTGCAAGTAAATATGGCTGAAATCAAATATGCATGAACAAATAGGTGTATGTTGGGATGGATGGCAGAGTGCAATTGTCAAATAAGTAATTAATCCAATAAACAAGTGATGTGGTATGTTAGACTGCGAAGGGCCATTTCCCTACGTCCATACCGTAGACAGTGAGACAGGCTGCAGCGCTCTCCATGTCATCATAGTAGGCAAATTCACAGGTGTAACAGCCCTCATCCTCAACTCTCACTGGCTTGATGTAGAGATTTGTCTCACTGACGCCACTGCTCAGCATTACACGGTCCTTAAACGGCTCTTCAATAACAGGCTTTCCATCCTTGCCGTTGACAGCCACGTCTCTGGTGTCACCCTGCTCCTCCGTCTTCCTCCAATGGACCTGCTTGACCCCCTCGGAGGGGCTAAACTGGCAGGACAGTGTTGCCAGCTTTCCGCTGACCGCCGTTTTGTTCCCTTCTGTACTCAGATTGGCTGGTAAATAAACACAATTTTGAATAATTATCACAATATACAGTGGAAACACAAAATTGGCCAGATGAAAAACAAGCTTAAAATTCATATCCATGGGTCTGTCTGCTGTGTGGCTGGACGAGATGCATTCATGACATTACATCATGAAGAATAAGATGTTATTTGGGAAATAAAGAATTAGGCACCAATATCTCTTGTGGTTTGTAGCATATGACCTTAGCATGTTTCCTCTACTACTGGCATGCAATGAATAGCAGGGTGTGTAAAGCATAGAGACATGACACAGTGCAGACATACTACTGTTAAAGGTTCTTGTAGTTCCTCCACATCAACACCTTAAAAAAGCCAATAAAGAAATACTTCAAAAGACTATGAACACACACTCTTAATGCATGCAACCGCTCATCTTCCATAACCACTCATCCAGTACAGAGTGGCGGAATTTATCATTTTGTCACGTAAAGAATTCAAATACAAGGATGTTTAGATATATAAATAACCTGACATGAGACTTGCACTGTAGTTCTTGAGTTATAGAAACAAATAAAGAAATGAACGGAAAGGTATATCTACATGAGATGGTTTGCTTGCAGAAACAAATGTAGTACCGTACTTAAATGGAGGTTCTAAGTAATATGCCTCTCTGATTACATTCAACATGTTACTATATAAATTTAAAGCCACGGTGTAAAATCGATAACAAAAACATTTAAGAACTGGGGATTGGCACAGGTTATCCTTTAGTCCACATAAATATGCTTCCTGTTTTGTATAGTAGCCCAAGTGTCTTTGATGGAACTCACCCATAATTTCTAGACAGATGCTTCTTTCCTGAGACCCGCTGGGATACACGTAGAACACACACACGTAGCAATCCTTGTCTTCTAGGCTCACCTTCTCGATTGTGACACCAGTGGTGTGTAAGGTAGGGCTTTCCAGGGTTACGCGCTGGTTGTCCGTGATGTTTGGAAGCTCATCAGGATGGTACACAAACAGGGTCTGGTTATGCTTGTCCCGCCACAGAATCTGCTTCAACGACTCCCCCTGCTCCAGCTCCAACTTGCAGTATATTGTGACGGGCTGATTCTGCCTCACCTTTACTCTCGAGGGGGCAATGACCTTACCTGGGCCACAAAGACAAAACACAGCCTCAGTGGCCGTGTTGGGTTCCTCCCACACATCGACCTTAAACATCACCCAAAACATTTGAAGGTCAATTTTAAGTATTGGCTGGAATTTTATGGTTTATAGTGAGTTTCTGTTTTATTATTGGTGTGAAAAGATCAGAATAAACCAGAACAGCAACATCCTAAGGATTAACTAGTGAAGTTTTGCTGCAGGAGTTCTGGTCATGTACTGTATAATGGAAACAAAGTGTAATATTACGAATACCTTGATTTGCGGACATGGTAATGAGGATGACATAGAGCTGTGAGACTCGCAGTAGGGCAGCATATAACATGTCTGTCTGCACAGAAAGGACATGCCTATTCAGTTTGGTTTCAGCACCTCGCAAATGGAACTTGGGCTGCATTCATTTATTTACAAGGGTGAGGTTAACTTCAACAGTCATATCAAAAGCATCTTATTTCATTACATAACTGTTCTGTTAAACTAATTCATAAAGTATTTCCCCAGTAAATGCTTGTACTGGTTCTCAGCTTATCAAAAAGGAGCACTAATATCTCTAGAACATAAAATAAAATAGAATAAAACAGAAATATATTCTTCCATACCACAGCACCTGCCCTAGCTATTTGTGAAATAACATTATATGCAACCACAATAAAGGACAAAGCGGTCTTATTTCTACTGAGATATTCAAAAGTAATGCGTTATTGTGTTCCCTTTGCTTTTCCGATGGGAATCAAGATGTAATCAAATCAAGCTAGATAGGAAATAAAAAAATACGGTCCATACGTTAAATGTCTTAAATACGCACAAAGTGACTATATATATTTCATATAATTAACAATTATAAACAAAACTGATGTATGTATTTGCGATTTGTTTATTCAATTTTCACTCCATTTTTACTCATTAGGCTGCCCCAAACAGCGAATAAACCAATAAAGCACGTATTTGTCAACAAGTATAACACAACCAATTAAGGTCTTCCCTCCTTCAGACTTACCGGTGAGCGGCTGCCCTGATAGGTAAAGCACTCCTTTGACAAACTCGCCTATTTCGATATAATCTCACGTCCCTGAGTTCTTGCACCCCAACTCCGGACACGCACCACCCCTCGTCTCACTATAAAATGGGCCAAAGAAGGGGCAGATCAGATACAGTAGCACGAGATATTTTGTTAAAAAAAAAAGTAAAAATACATTTTTTAAAAGAACCTCAATCAAAATATAAGCTACGATAGTGCCACGCAGCAGCTTATTGGGGAAACCGTGTAAATTAACATGAAATAATTCGAATAATTTATGGGATATTTACAGCCTGTACCAGATGTACTGTACTCTGGATAATTAGCGTGAAACGGTTTTATATATATATATATATATATACATACGCGTTTTCACAGAACAGCTCATTACGTAACGTCATATTCCATAAGGCAATTCCTGTCGCACTACTTGTATTCATTATGGAAATACTGCCCTCTAGCGGTTACGAAACTCTATGACACAGATTAATAAAACCTTGCGAATGATCTGACTTCACGGTGTTACCGTGGCATCAATTTAGCCTTACAGTTAGTGTTGTGGGTCTCATTCCCATCAGTGTGTGAGTGGATTTGCAAGCTCTCAACATGGGTGAGCAAGTTGGTAAAGTCAAATTATTTGATTTTGAACGTGTCCCCTTCCTTAGGCCAAAGAGTAGATCACAAAATTTTTTTTGTAAAGTTTATGTAGGAACATCATTTATAAATTATTTGTTATAACTGTAAGGAAAAATAGTAAAAAGACACCCCAACGTTCTTGGTTGAATACAAACTGAGTAATTTATGATCATAGGGGAATTCAGGGAGAGAATGGGGGCTCCAGCTTGCACCAGCAGGGCGATAAGGAACTGAGTGAGTTTACAGAGTCCAGAGGAGGGCAGTGACCAGACTGAGTTACCATTTGCTATCGCTGGAAGTCTCTGTCCTGCTTCATCCGTCTCAGGATCCTCACATTCCAGGAGGTCACCCTGTATATGCAAATTCACTCACAACACCTATACACACAGTACCTAGTCAGGCAGTGTCCTTTGGGGTATAAAGGGGGATTAAGGACTATCCTGAATTTGTATTTGAACTGCCTTTCATACCCAGTGTATTTCTACCCTGTATTACATTATATCATTTGTGCTGTTCAATAAACCATTGTTTTGCTGAAACTAGAGTCTGCAAACAGCTTCCTAGCATAAATAACATCATTAAACAGCTGACCACCACTGCTGCTGGTTTGTAAAGTAAAACATGAAGTCACAAAGCATTTAGTTTATTCATACTTACTGAGGCAAATGGCATGAAATTACAAAGCCACTGTAATTATAATACAAAGTATAAAGAGATATTCAGTGCTTGAAGTGGGAAAAAATAAGTGCAGGAACTCTAATTTTCTCGGGCCACTGTCGCTGCGTCGGATCAGTTTCAGTAAGTACCGGAACGCAGAAAAAAGTGACGGAACCCAAAAGACGAGAATACAGAAGTTCCGGAACTGCGTTCCGCTGCGTTCCGGCCCACTTCAAGCACTGGAGATATTACAAAATTGATGGATTAAGAGTCTGGCAATGGGTGAGATGGACAATTTCCCACAGTAGAATTTTCTTAAACTAAGTTAAGCTTAAGCTACAGAATTTCAGCCCTACTTTTCTACTCCGACGGTTTCAGAGATCATGCATCATGAAAAACAGAAAGGTCCTCATTAATTCAGAAAAACATTACTCGTAAAAACAGGATGGTTATCTCATTAATTCAGAAAAATGAAATGTGAAACAGAATGATTAGTTCATTATATCGGAAAAACTTTTGTTTTCCAGATGAATGCAGTAGTAACCATAACTGTGCCAATGAGCCACTGAATGCCTCATTAAGAACAGTTTCTAAAGCAACTAAACTTTATACATCGTTGTCACTTTTTACTCATTGTCTCTGACCACTCACAAGAAAGACATATATATTGTATATATAGTACGGGTGTGTGGAAATCGATTCAGTTATAAATCACGTCATGATATATGATTCGGTGTGGATGCTGTTCCCAGATTACGCTACATACTCTTCATCCTCAACAATTTACTATAACTTTAAGGCTATATCTTAAAATCATTGTTTTATGGTCATTTATTTGCCAAACAAGTGCTGGGGCTATAGCCTCCTGAACATGGTAAAGCGATTGCATGATTGCATATGTATTTAAGTAGGCCGATTTTTATCCTTAGTGTTTCCCATGTACACAAGGGTTAAATTAGCAGAGAACAATGAAACATAAAACATTTATCACATATGCTGTGACTGTTAACTGATGCTGCATGGACCCCTGATAATTATGTACAGTAGTGATTTTTATGACATAATTCCGTGATTGTTAAAAACAGAGTTGCATACTTGTATTTTAATTATATACACCTGTGCAGCAAAGATTGTGCTTACAAAAAAGATCAGATTTGCAACTTGACATTTGCACATATTTTCAGAAACCACATTACAACCACGAACACCAACATGTCCTGCCAACACGTCATGACCTCCATCACAATCAATGCTTCTGTTCACTGAAGTCCAGGCTCCTAGCAGAAGAAACGACACTGATGCCAAAGTGATAAACACCCCAATTTAAAACTTGCATTATTGCCATTTTCAAACTTAAAATGTGATTTTTAATTCTTTTAATAATTAATTAAAACCAACAAGTATTATACACTTGTGTATGGACAACCAACATTTTATAAGCCAATTGGAATGCAGATATCCAGACACATTCCCAGAACCCAAATTTTATTTTCCTATAGCTGAGTGTGTTTCATTCTTGAAATAATAAAGGTGAACTTACTTTTTAACCTTTGGATGTTCAGAAGGGCTAAAAACATAGAAAAACAAAGGCAAAACTTACATAAAATTTTTCATAAATTTGTCACATTTACTTAAGAATCAAAGTTTCACAGGAGACATTTCAAGTTTAAAGTCTAATGTGTCTGGAGCAGGAGAATGTTGGGTGAAAAGAAAGAATGTTTATAGAGTATTAGTTCTATACTATACTCATTGTCTCTGACCACTCACAATAAAGACATATATAGTGCATATATAGTACGGGTGTGTGGAAATCGATCAAGTTATAAATCACGATTCCTCAACATGGAAATTTTTATATCACTGTGAAAATTAAAAATCTAATTTGAAAAATCTATTTAACTGCAGGTTGCTGTAATGTCGGTCTCATTTGTTACTTCTGATATACTTGCCCAGTTGCACTGCACAGTTGTGTTAAAGGACTGACATGTGCAGGCCTGCTACAGTGCTATCATGAACAAACAAGCCTGTACAGAGACTTTATGAGCAGCACCTCAATTGAAATCCTAAGTTTGGGCAAACTTTGATTCTGTGAAGTAAGTCTAGACATGAGTGAGGCTGTCTGCTTGGGTTCATGGTTTGGTTCAATTTCAGTACAGCAGGGAAACAGAATTTGTTTTTAAATTGTTCATTATTAAAAAAGCAAAACATATAGAAACGGCTGTAAACCAAACATAAGGCAATGTGTCTGTCGTTGTGACCGAATAACAAAACCAATTCATAGTTACATATTGAACTAAATTCCATGTTCTCTGCTACAGAGAATGGTTGCATATCTATAACCTTTTTAAAGCCCAGTCTAAATTACATCACAAAACATCCTAAATGCCACAGGGAGCCCAACTTGCAGAGCTGTGTCTGCCTTGCTCTGGTCTTACACACACTTGAACGTTGTCGTCTCAAATGAGTTTGCATGTTGGATGCGTTTCCAGCAACATATCCCAGTTCGATATAACAGAGCTGATGGGGAGTCTTGGTTTTATCAACTACTCACTCTCCGGAGTTGGTGTAACTTATTGGGAAACCAGAATGTTCTCAAACTAGCGATTTATGTGACGTGGAAGGGTCTTGGAGTTCTCCAGCACGAGCCTTAACCAACTCAAGGGCACAATTACCATGTTTTCATGATGATCATCTACTAATGAGTTTAGGTTCTGCCTGTGTCATTTGTTTCATTGGACGTTTTAAACCAAAAGGGATGTAACTGAAGAGCACATGATGAATATTTGTTACAGTCCTTGGCTTTACAATAAATGTAGATGTGAACTGCTCTTCAGCAACAAAAATTAAAAATCAAAATACTAATTTAATCGGTAAATAATCTGCCAATTCCCACCCTTAATGTATAGTGTAGTTATGGAACACACATATTAATACATTATCAAAGGCACAATGACAGTAGAAAAACTGAAGACACCTACTGTATTTGTCTTTTCTTCAGAGTAGAATCCAATCTGAAAGTTAATAAAACATGTAGATTGGAATATAATTGATACCTAAGAGTGCATGAGGACGGCATGGATGTTACACAGCTGGGGCAGTCAGGTGACAGGCACTTCACTGATGTCAGCTGCACATTACTATTAATCACTATATATCGGCTAAATTCTTACTGTAAAATCTCAGCCTTGTAAGGCTAATTCAGCACTAATCATGCAATTAAATATGATTTACAGGAAATGTTAAGATAAAGTCTTACCCAGTTTTCACTTGAGAACAGTCTGGTGTTCTGAAAAGGAATTCATAAGCGGTCATATTACTAATCATCCCTATGGTTTTCTACAATTCGTAACATAGACACTGAATGTGTTCAATTTAAACATAGTTTTGAAACATTTACTAATAATCACAAAATTTTAGGGGGAAAATTAAGCTGCTGCCTTTATCTTTTTGCAGAGTTAGCAAGTTAGAGTTAATAAAACATATAGATTATTTTCTTACTGTATTTGAAATTGACTGCATAATATAACACTCAGATTCATCTGCTCATTTCCTACTGAATTTTATGTGCATCTTACAGAAGGCAGCAGGAGGACAAAAACATGCAGGCAAACATTTCAAAGTCTCCATTAAATGGAAAAGACTTTGGTGTGCAGCAAAATGGAAAACAGGATGATGTTACCATCTTTAGCATTCTAAATCAGTTTTAACTTTCAGCAGTGAACGCCATACCTGATTGTGCTGAAAAGAAAGTGATAAAAGATCATTTAAAATTCATAGGTTAAGAGCTTGGCTGTTCAACAGGTCACAGCTTCAGTTAGAATCAGAATCTCACAGCTGTGCCTGAATTCCAGACTCCAAGATGGAGAAATGCAGGAGCTCACTACAGAGCTCAGACAAACAGCCTCCAGCCTATCAAAGGATGAACCTTCTAAATATTTGTACCGTTACAGCCCTTGTCTTTACAATAAATGTTGACTTGAACTGCTCTTCAGCAAAAAACATAAAATCGAAATACATATTGAATCGGCAATCTACCAATTCCCACCCCTAATATACAGAGTAACTATGGAATGCATATATTTATACATTATCAAAGCTACAATGACAATAAAAAAACTGAAGACACCTACTGTATTAGTATTTTCTTCAGGGAAGAACCAACCAGTAATCTGAAAGGTAATAAAACATGTAGATTTGAATACTGAATGAGACCTAAGACTGGATGAGGGTGGCATGGATGTTACACAGCTGGGTGCAATCAACTGACAAACACTTTTCCTTGACTTCAGCTGCACATTATCATTAATCATATGAAAGTAGAGTTTATCGCCACATCAGAACACAGACCTGGTCCCTGATGTGTGACCCCACATGATTCTCTAGCCCTTTCCAAGCACTGACACCCCCACTGTTTTCCTAGTTTGGACGTTTTGTCCTTGTTCCTCCGATCCCAAACTTTTTGAAATATACACCTCCACTCTTTTGAAATTATACTATATATCGGCTAAATTCTTACTGTAAAATCTCAGCCTCAAGGCTAATTCAGCACTATTCATGTAATTAAATATGATTTACAGGAAACATTAAGTTAAAGCCTTACCCAGTTTTCACTTGAGAACAGTTTGGTGTTCTGAAAAGGAATTCATAAGCGGTCATATTACTAACCATCCCTATGATTTTCTACAATTCGTAACATAGACAGACAGACAGAATGTGTTCAATTTAAACGTAGTTTTGAAACATTTACTAATAATCACAAAATTTTAGGGGAAAAATTGAGCTGCTGCCTTTATCTTTTTGCAGAATTAGCCCAAATGGAGAATAAAACAGATTATTTTCTTACAGTATTTGAAATTGATTGCATAATATAACATTGAGATGCTTCTGCTCATTTCCTACTGAATTTTGTTTGCATCTTACAGAAGGCAGCAGGAGGACAAAAACATGCAGGCAAACATTTCAAAGTCTCCATTAAATGGAAAAGACTTTGGTGTGCAGTAAATGGAAAACAGGACGATGTTACTATCTTTAGCATTCTAAATCAGTTTTAACTTTCAGCAGTGAACGCCATACCTGTTTGGCACTTGATAAGGATCTTTTGTGCTGAAAAGAAAGTGACAAACGACCATTTGAAATTCATAGGTTAAGAGCTTGGCTGTTCAACAGGTCACAGCTTCAGTTAGAATCAGAATCTCACAGCTGTGCCTGAATTCCAGACTCCAAGATGGAGGAATGCAGGAGCTCACTGCAGAGCTCAGACAAACAGCCTCCAGCCTATCAAAGGATGAACCTTCTGAAAGCTCTTTCTGCACGTGACCAAGGGAATAAGAGGCAGTGTGGCTCTCCCGCTTCACACCAGATCCTACTGACGTTTTACACTATTGGAAAACTGAAAATACAGTGAAATACACAAAACTGATGTGTAAAGCAGGATTTTTAAATTACACTGTGTTAAAATCGCAAAATGAGATTGGGTCATAATTTAGTCACTGTGCAGAAAAACTGACACCTGAATGATGCAGTAAGAGTGAGAGCAGCCTGCACATTTATTGTCTGATGCATATCATTAAGTTCAGTAATTGTTTTTTTCCATTTAGACCTGAAATGTATGTACATTAACCAAACAGTATCACCCACCTAAATGTCTGTTAGTTTTAAACAAGAACTTGGAGTAGCATGTGGGTCTACGGGTTAGAACCCATGGTCAAACCTCGTCACTGGCTGAATGATGTCATTGTTACACAATTACATGAGTCAGACATGAGAATTGCAAAAATGTTAAGACATATTGTGATTTCCTTACTGAAGAAGACATTGTATCTTTCCCCCAGAAATACAAATATAGGGGAAAAGGTTGTAACATAAATGTTAGACTGAAAAAATAACCACACTCTCGAAGGCACTGAGTTAAATGTAGAGTGCACGCATTTTTAAACAGACAAAGGTAAAAGGAATTCATCCTGACATGTTTGGCTCTATAGACAATAATAAAAACAGCTGTCGGTTCATTTTTACCTGCTGCGCTCTTTTTCCTTCCTTAGAGTGAGTTTCAAAAAAGCATAAAGGCGTCCACAAATATAAAGGCGTCCCCAAATACAAAGGCCTCCACAAATACAAAGGCCTCCACAAATACAAAGGCCTCCAATGGCTGCAGATGAGAAAATATACAATCATGTATAAAAAACCGAATACAACCATGTATAAAAGCCAAATGTCAAATACATGTGAGCAATACACAATTACCATATATCATGAAGTATGGAGGATGACTGCGCTTACCAAGGACAGTGTACAAGATGACTGTATGTCCTGTATCAGCTTCATCAGACTGGTTATCAGCTGTCTCACCATTTGGGACAGTAATGAAAGTTTCCTTCCTTTCTCCATATTCTTGCTGTGCTGCACATTTGATTACTGTTGTATTTGCAAGAAGTCTGGGGGTCATTTGAACTGTAGCAGTTTTAGTAACAGTTATAGTTCCATTAGGATTTTTGGTGTAGAATGTTGTAGAATTTTCCAGAGCTGTATCGTCAATATCCCAGGATAACTCTGGTGCAGGTTTTCCAGTGACAGAGCAGGAAAGCAGTAATATCCCCTCACCACTGACAGTGACTGGTTTTATGTCAAATACAGGATTGTGAATTTCTGAAAGATCAGAAAGACAGTTATCTCGGTCATGCTTTCTAGAAGAATCGTGAAATATTTTTTCATCAGCGTTTCATTAGTTTTGTGCAAATCAAGTGTGCAAATCAAACTGAAAAAGGATAGGAAAATTACTGAATTCAGCATTCTTTTCGATCATTTTGATAATATAAATCAAAGAGACTTTACCATAGATTTTGAGGCAGGTCCTCCCACTGATGGCTCCATCAGGAAACACATTAAACAGACAATCGTAGCACGATTCATCACTCCACTGGACTCTCCTAATAACTATAGAACACTGTTGCAGCCCCGTTTCCACGAAACAGACATTTTTCCGGAAAGAATCGGCGATTTTCGAACCAAAACGTTCACTGTACGTTGCCATGTTTTCACTCGTCTGCTCCGACACTCTCTGCCAGGTCACTTGTTTCACATTTCTCTGTTTTGTTAGCTCACATTTCAAGTTAACATCTTCTCCAAAGGAAGCCATTACAAGCTGCTCCGTTCTAATTAATTCTGCGGAACCTAAAAAAAAAAAAACACACCTGAATACATAAAACCATAACAGCTTATTTTTGCGCGGGGTAGACGGGTATTAAACGCTTTTAAGAAGTGTAAATTACTGATACATTTTATTTTATAGTTGCGGATTACTTACCACGAAGACAAATCGTGAGGAGTAAATACACGAAAATCGATAAGGTATTCATAAAATCCATTTATTTGTTATTTAAAATTATTAATCACGTATCACAAAACGCATGAAGCACCGTCTCGTTTCCGCGCGAAGTTTAAATGTTACAATCGTTCCTATTGGTTGGAGCAGTCGAAAGTGAAACCAATTTATGTGAAGCGTGCCGTTAGTAAATGTGTCGTAACATGCAATGGATGAAATGTTGATGGGAAAAAAAGTGCAATCACATTATATTACTTGAATGATACAAAACAATACAAAGCTCTGGAAAAAAAATCAAGAGAAAACAGAAAACAGAGAAACATTTTTAGTCTCACTCATTTCTCAATTTATGGGTAGGCCTATGCTTCCCATAATAATAATAGTAATAATAATATTAATACATTTATATCAGACGCAGTGACAATGACATTCCAGACTGATGGACCATTGACAGTATGCAAACTCTTACAGGGCTGGTGACATCGATCTCATCAATATTCATTGCGCAAAAAAGCTAGACTTCGCAAAAAATAGTGCCACTCCAAAGGTCTAACACTTTAGTAATCAAACCGCATGAAATTTCTGAATGCTTCAATCAATGAAATTGATTAAAATTGTATTATCTGTTTTGCACAAAGTGAAGGAGATTCTTTTTGTGTGTGTGTTAGCCGACTATGTCTCCATTTACATGTGATAACCTGATTAAGGTGTTTACATGTGTTTTCAATAACACGATTATGCCGTCTACATGACTAGTTCTATAATCGGGTCATTAAAAATGGATCTCCTTCACTTCATGACTTCATGTACCTCCTCTGCATTTTCCGTAGGGCGGGGCGATATGGACCAAAATCCATATCGGTATTTTCAGGCAGAATAGCAATACATGATATTTTTTGTTATGTGTTAAATGTTCAGTTTTAAATAAAAACCACATATGAGATATACAGTAACAAACAGTTCTATCAACACAATGTGTCTGCTTTCTTCTTTGTTTACAAATATACAACTATTCAGTATAGATATTTTCTGTATTCCAAACATCTCAAAATAAAGACAAAAATCAATGTACTGTATGGCTATATCTGTTGCATGGGTTAAATAAAGCAGCCACAACAAAAGCGATTTACTCATATAACACTGCTCTCAAAACATAAGGTGAAGATTTTTTAAATCTAAAACCTACACGTCGGTAACTTTTCTGAATTTGTAGTGCGTCGACACTAATCAGCTACCTTAGATATCAGTGTCAGAGGCATAATACCGCAACACAATAAGAGAACACAACACATTTAAAAATTTAATTTGCTTAATTTTTTTTCTTGATGTTTTTACTGTATGTTCTTTATGTTTTTGTGTCTTCTTAAAAGTTTTTGTGTATCATTGACGTGTTCTGGGCTTTCAGGGCCCACCATAAAAGGTGCCTTAAGAGCAATTTCACAAAAATTAAGCAAAGGATCCTTAGACGTTTGTCTCATGGAAAAGAATCCTAAAAGGAAGGAAAGGTAAGGAAGCTAAATTAATATCTGCCCACATAATTATTAAATGACAAATGTACTGATATCATAGTGATCAAACCCCAATATAACACTGTGCAGTATTGTCATTGTCATCCATAAAACAGATATGATTTTTATGCATTACCAATTAATTTAAATTCTTATACACTCAAAACAATATATGCAATACAGAACCCAAACTAAATTTGTCGTCATTCTTGTAACAATGAAGCTGGACTTACCTTTTGTCCTTCAAAATTTCTGAAACATGTAAAACAACAAATGCAAAATTTACACAAAACTTTTAATGACACCACTTTGATAAAGAAAGGCGTCTTCAAAGGAAACATTTCAAATTAAAGCCTTACGTGTTTTGAGTAAGAGAAGCTAGGCTGAAAAGTAAGAATATTTATAATGAGTATTAATACTGTACCTAAGAATTTATATTGAATGTATTGATGGAAAATATATAAAATTAAAGTAACAATGATTATTGTGGAAAAAAACATACAATGTGTGTCTCCTCTTTACTGAAGAACTATCCATTAATCTGAAAGGCAATAAAATAGATATATGTGAATATTAGACCTAAGGCATGGATGTTACACAGCTGGGGGCAGTCAGTTGACAAACATGTTTCATTGACTTTGGCTGCACATTATAATTAATATTAAACTGGGTTCTGTTCTATCTCCACATAAGAACACACACCCAGACCCTGATGCTTGGCTCCACAGCATCTTCAAGCCCTTTCAAAGAACGACAATTGTGGAAAAAATCCAGACGTACTGTCTTTGTCTTCTCTTTACTGAAGAACGATCTGGCAATCTGAAAGAAAAGGGTGTCACTGCGTTTTCAATATTGGGGGTGACAGGGACAGAGCTATTAAGTGACTGAGTCAAATCCGTCCTGTATGATGTCAGAACACACATCCAGACACTGATGTGTGACCCCACATGATCTTCTAGCCCTTTCTAAGCACTGACACCCCCACTGTTTTCCTAGTCTAGATATCTGAATGGGCGTCTTGTACTTGTTCCTTCCAAATTGTTTTATAATATCTATCTCCACTCACATGAAAATATTCCACATACCTAAATTTCATGCTGTCAAATATAGAGGAAACATGAAGATAAAGCCTTACTTTTTTTGCACTGGAAAATCTTGTGAGCTGAAACGGAATTCATAG